TTGACGACATTTCTTTGTACTGTTTGATGTCATTGATTTCCCTCACCAAGAACTCCATCTTAAAATTACAATTTATCACAGCATAGATGGACAGGTCCTTGAAAGAAAACGCTGTTTTCCTGGTGAAGCAGAACCTGCACATACTATCAAAAGGATCAACAAAAAAATCAACCTCAGATGAGGGTCCTCTCCACCCTACCAGAAACTCTTCCGGCGTAATCAAGGTTCCTATCTCCAGGTGCACGTTAGGCAACTTGAAAGGAGTGGTAGTCCTCCTCCTTTGATTCATATGGTGTGGATTCTCAGGTCCCAGGCTGACTTTCAAAGGTTTACCGTTCAAAATGAGCCCATCGTGCAGCGAAAGCTCAAAAGCCGAAGTTGCAGCTGCAGGCACAGCAAAGTGCACAAAAGCATGTGGCTCCACCTTTCTATATTCATTCGCTATCTGGATGGTGTCAAACCTTGTCACCTCAAAATCTGGATAAGAATCTGGTGGCGTCCAGGAAGTTTTTAATCTACACCTCCAGAGAAGGCCAACTGTGTCTTCCAAATACTCCACCAGCTCTTTTGCCGTCACATTTTGATCAAATCCACCGACACTAACTTGAGTCACCACAGTGTCGTTCCTAGCTCCTTCCGACTCCATTTTTCCTCCAAACACACTGTTCTTGAAAATAACTATGGATGTAGCTCTATTATCACCTGCAACAGTATCCAAATCCCAACTAAATCTCTTTCTCATACAATGTTATTGATGGAAAAAATCTCTCAAACTTAAACCCACCACTTGCTCTGAGCTGGCAGGAAGAATAGGTAAAAGAGTGATGTCTTTGCAGTGAACTAATAAAAGATAAATGCGAAACATCATAAGATGTAAGTTCCATAACATGTCTACCATAGTGAGGTTCTTTGCTCAAAAGACATAAAAGGTATCATATCTCATAACACCAAACTGCATTCCGGCGAGGCACGAAAGATGGTAACTACATTTACCAGCCAGTATATCTAGCAGAAAAGACAAGTTCACAGAATAGAACAAAGTAGAAAAGAACAGTAGCTTTCAGTAGTAAAAGTGACGTGCAGAAATTGGAAAATAGAAGCTGTAAGAAAGGCGATAGCCTAAGATAAATCCCAATGTCCTATTGATGATTAATCTCTTCCTGCAGCAGCCAAAGGACAGAGCCGAACTCTGCCAAGCCACAAGAAACTTCCCCTGCTCAATTCCATATCTATACATGGGCATTCAGCGTTAAAGACCAAACCACCTAGCCCAATAGCCGCAAGTAAATGACAATGCAAAACTTCATCTTCTAACCCAAAACAAGCGTGCTCGTCGGGTTATCTTCCCTTTCTTTACCGATCAACACGCACACCTTCCGAGGTTCAATTATCTTTCAGACACCAACAAAACAAAACCAAAAGCAGCTCTATTCACACAAGCAAATCTGAAACCCGAGGCGTGTTTCACCTGCCCTCAACCCTTTAGCCCCGAAACACCCATAGAACTGTACTTATCTACGCACGATCCACACCACCTAAGCCGCTTCCAGCCTATCACACACACCCAAAAAAAAAAAAAAATTAGAGCTCCGCCCGTTTCAGATTAGTAGCACGGGACAGCTCGAGCTGCCTCCAGAAACCGCGGAACAAACGAGGAGACCGCGACCCAAAACCAAGAAAAAGCAAAAAGAATCCGCACAAGTGTTTGTCGAGACGGAGACGAACGATCCGAACAGACACAATCGGGCGACCGTAAAGACATGGCCATCGGATTCACGCTACAAGGGGTCGGGCTTTTTTGCACCGTTCCCATCAATCGGCTTCCGAGCAAGGAGATCGCTTTGCAAGAATGAAGGGCGAGTCGCAGCAATTTACCTCGGGAATCGCCGTCTCCGTCGAGGCCGTACCGATCGACGGCGACCGATCGGACACCCAGAGAGAGAGAGAGAGAGAGAGAGATGATGATGAGCGTGAGGGAGTGTGTTGAGTTTTGCGAGAGGGAAAAAACGAAAGGAAAGAGTATATATATATATATATAGGCATAGGCAGAGGGGGAGGGGAACCGAAAAGAAGCCCCTAATTCGATTTTGGTCCCCCTACTTTTGTGTTATGACACATTTGGTCCCTGAGCTAAATCTGTATCGACAGATTTTAAATGACAAATTCCTTGCTTCCCCTCGAGATGTCGACCCGATTAACTGGCTAAGCGCCGGGGATATGCGCGCGGCGCCGCCGTGGAATAAAAAAAAATCTAGAGGAGAAGCAAGTAGAGCGGTCCGTGTTACTGCCGTCGATGTTCGATGGGCGCTCGTTTTTTGTATTCTGATAGATTTGTTTCCTAACCTGAACTTTCATCTTGATTTCAAGAGATTTGCGTGCAAATGCAGAAGAAAGAAATTGTTGAGCAAGCATACATAAATGCGCGTGGTTCTGGCAAGACTTTCCTCATAAGTGTTTAATAACCTCACGTTGCTAAGCATTTTTTTCTAACTATTGCCCATTTGTTACAAAATAAACCAGCCAGGAGGGACAACTTAGCCTAGAGTCGTAACGCTTCGCTCGACCACATTGGCCGAATCTCTCGAAAGAGCCATGTGGTGACCATTTAGGAAGAATCGCCTCATTTTCTGCACTGATAATTGCGCGCCAGTTTAGTTCGGAAATCCAAATTGAACAAAGAGCACACTACAGTGACTGGTTTCGTAATTTTTCCCTCGACATCTTAATTGCTCATACCACATCGATGCCACGTGCCCGTCCCCGATGCTCAGTCGGCATTTTCCACGGACATTTTTGGACGGAATATGGAACTTGTCATGCAATTGCGACAAAAAAGACTAGTTCAGGGGCCGAATCGGTCGCGGGATAAAAGTCCGGGGGGTCGAAATCGAAAAGCGACAATAGCAGAAGGACCATTTATGTAATTAGCCTTAAGAATGTTGTTTGATAGCTTGTTGGAGTCCACAGCTAACTTCCTAGAGAAGGTCCTTGTCTTGGGAACCACGGTTTTCGTTTGCGGGAGTTTGCTTCATAACCCTCCTTGAGAAGGTTTTGTCTTTTCAATTCCCTTTTCATTTTCAAGGCCAAAAATTAGAAGATTCTCTTTAATTTCCCTTTATTTTTTTCTTAAATCTTTCTTTTTCTCTTCCAACTTTTCCTTTCTTTTTTTTTTTTTAATTTCTTTGGATTGGGGTTTTTAGTTTGTTATTCCTTCTCTTGCGTAAGGGCACACGGATATCATGTGTGCGGGAAAAAGGAGATCGAGTGGATGGTAGGAATACGAAATTATAGAGAAAGAGGAAATGGATCAGTGGTCGAGAGAGCGAGGAGCGAGTGAGAGGGGTCGAGGGTCGGAAACATGTCCACAACGTCGAAACTCTCGACCCGGAGTGCGGTAGGTGCGGCCAGAGTTTCCGATAGAGCGGTGAAATGCGTAGATGGAGCCGTGACGGGGAAAATCTATTTTGTAATCGAAATTTAAACAATGATTTCAAACGTAGGTTTGATTAGCATTGGCTTCGACGTCGGCCGATCGTCGAACGGTTTCTAATCTATGTGTAGCTGTGCTCGAATATTTTAGCGCTTTTTAATTAACCTACTTTTAATTAAGTTTGTCTTATGTTTTTTACTATTTTCTAAGCTCCCCTATTTCCATCTGCGTGTTCTTATTGTATTTCTTCTTACCACAAATCTAATTTTTTTGACGGATGGTAACTTTTCGAAAGCCTAAAACTGAAAGTGACAATATAAAGTATGCTTTCCGGTCTTTGCCAATGTGACTCCACGATAACGAACAACAAATCAAAGATATATCCTAAATGCACAGGACAAAACTAGATTTAGCACCAAACTACAAATCAAAGATAACGAACACACGAGGCTCATTCACAACATCTTGATGGTAAAAAAAAGAATGGAGAATGATCAAAGATTGAAAATTACCTCCGAACCGTGCTTTCATGGTTGCCGATCGAAGAGAGAGAGAGCCGAGAGCGAGATCGATGAAAAGAGAGAGAGATAATGTGTGAGGGGTGTGCTGAGTTTCGCGTGAGGGCATAAGGAACGGTAGAATTTGTATATATACCCGCGTACGAAAAAGGTTACCTGGTTTCATTAGGTAAGTGCTATCGCGACAATAAAAATTTAGGCAAATTTTATCCGGTATAGGTCCCACCATTATTACCGGGGATAGCAACCATAACGGGCTTTAATCAAATTGACCGTCATCATCCGTCGTCTCATTTAGTAGAAAATCCTAGATTTTTTAAAGTATTCGAAATTCGTTGCGGCGCGTGATTCGAAAATAGAACTTGATTAACCCCAATAGTAGGATACTCATTTTCCTTCTTAAATATGAAGTTGTCTCGATATATAATTCGCCTATTAACACCATAGCAAAAACCCAAATCCCTCTCTCTCAATCCTCATTAGATTCGACATTTAGAGTACATGTTAAATGGCAGGTTTTGGTGCACTTCATTTGGATTGTGTTTTGGATATCATCTTAAAACCCGACTAGAATTTGAAATTTAGGCGCCGTTTATTCCACGGAAAATGAATGATTTGAATAACATTTTTCTAAAAAAGATCGCATGTATCGCTTACAAAATAAATAAACGAAAAAATATTTTCGCCATTTACGAAAATGTTTAGATATAAATTATTGTTGGTAATGAAAACTTTTTCTATTGATTAATTATTTCAAGCGATCATTTATAAGAAAATATTTTTTTAATCATTCATTTTTCTCGAAATAAAAAGGGAATTTGCCATGCTGCGTTGGCAGCTTTTTCTACTAATCAACGAAATCTAGCATGAGAAAAACAGCTGAAGCTACACATTTGCACCCAAAAAGCAGGAAGAAGACTAGCCACCCATTGCTATGAAAGATCAATCCTGGTAAAACCTTGAACAAGCTGGTGATTTTGAACCTGGCAGAGCTTGCATATGTGCCATCATTCATCAGATACACCCTCAATTCGACTGCCGAAATTCGCAGTCTACCTGTCGTAAGTGCTCGTGAAACCGTCGGCGAATCCCGCTCCGTTACAGTTTCCGCGCAGCATTTCCTCCCCACCTCTGCACATACAAAGATCACGCGTAAGCTTACAATCGCACCTGCAAGAGGAAGATCGAATCGCAGTCTGTCACCTTGTATCGAGAATAAAGAAGGCCAAGAGGACCGGCACGCTTGTAAGTCCTGCGATTTTGGAAATTCGGGAAACGCTTCCTGCGGCCCCGAGACTTCGAGTATTGCTCGCGACCGATGTTCATTTCCGAGGAACTCGAGCTTTGCCCGCAAAGCGAACAAGAGCCGCCAGCTTTGAACTGTCCATTGAAGAGATCCTCAGAGTTCACACCACTGCCTTTACATAGAGAACACAAGACTCCACCTATGAGTTCACATAAAAAACCATCGTTAGATCAGACAGCAAGTTTTCAATGAGGTGATCAGCAAGTGAAATGTGTATAAGAATTCTAGAGGAGAGTTCAAAATCCGACCCGTCTCCGATTGATGGAGCTTCATATTATCGCTCCGCTGACAGTCGAGAGGAAGGTGACTGAAATGGAAGATGCCAAGAACATTGCTGCAATTGATCTTGCTTCTTTGGCGGTCTCTGTTCTGAGACCAGCCTAAAGAAAAATGTACTGATACAATTTTTGCCCCCGGAGAACTGAACATATTCTTATGAAGCATGTTCAATTTCAACTGAGATTCAGAGGTTTTACCTCCCTCAGGAGAAATGTAATTTTTTATTTCCGAGAATCGACGGCCGGATCAAAAAACAGGCGGAGCTTAGGATGATTCTATGGTCCCTTTCCAAAAAAAATAAAAGCCAATATTTTTCTCGTGTTGGTAGATTACTAGAGGGTTGGTAAGTGTAAAAAAAAACTATTGGTAAAAAAAAAGTTATCTATCTACTGATATCCCGATATACAGCAACATATCAATAATTTACTCACACTTTTGATGAAATTACTAACTCTTTTAGACAATTTACAAATTATCAACTTTTCTTATCTATTATTGACTTTTATTTGTATTTCTCATCAACATCTTAAATTTACCAACTCCTACATTAATTTATGCGACCAATTTCTTTCTAATTGGATTACCAACTGATTTTAGATTACCAATTCTCATATGAATTACTTTTTAGCGTTTATTTGATTTACCAACTTTTATTATCGTTTACCAACTTTTCTTTGTCTCTCTTAGAAACACCGTAAATTTATAAACTATTATATGAATTTACCAATCTTTATTTGTGTGACTTACCAATTCTTCTCCCGTTAGGTCCTAGTTTTGGTTTCATAAGTCTCATTTGATTTGTTTACCAACCTTTATTTAGTTTTTTGTTTTTAAGTTGCCATCCTTTCTATTAAGTCACTCATTAAATTTACCAAACTCTTTTTAGAATTACCATCCCGAATTAGAATAATTACCAACTTTTATCTAATTAAGTTACCAACAAGTTTTGCTTTGCTAACTTTTACTTGAATTAGTTATCAATGTTATTTATTGGTATTTCAAATTACCAACTTCTTTTATTTATAATGAAAAAAATTTCTCTTATCATTTACAAACTTTTATTTATCATTTTTACCGGCACCTTAAATTTATTAACTATCATATTGGAATGCTAATCTTTATTTAAGTTAGTAAGTATTTTTGGATTACCAACTCTTATTTGAGTTGCTCGCATCAACCTTTATTTGTTTTTTGTTTAGCTTACCAACTTTTCAATTGAGTTACCACTTTAATTTTTCATGCTCATTAAATTTTTAAGTCCAACAACTCTTTTTAGAAAGGGTTAATATTACGAAAAACCGTAAACTGGTATACTTATGATAATTTTACCCTAAATCAATTTTTTGACCATTAAAAACCTCAAATTGGTACACATGTAACAAATTTACTCCAAAATATTTTTTTTTACCACAAAAAACTCTAAACTGGTACACTTGTAACAATTTTAACCCGAACTAATTATTTGACCACAAAAAATCTCAAATTGGTATACCTGTGATAATTTTACCCCAAACTAATTTTTTGACGACTAAAAACCCCAAACTGGTATATTTGTGACAAATTTACCCTTTCCAAAAAAAAAAGCCAATATTTTTTCTTGTGTTGGTAGATTACTAAAGGGTTGGTAAGTGTCAAAAAAACTATTGGTAAAAAAAAGGTTACCGATCAACTGATACTCGATATACAGCAACATATCAATAATTTACTCACACTTTTGATGAAATTACTAACTCTTTTAGACAATTTACGAATTATCAACTTTTCTTATCTATTATTGACTTTTATTTGTATTTCTCATCAACATCTTAAATTTACCAACTCCTACATTAATTTATGCGACCAATTTCTTTCCAATTGGATTGCCAACCGATTTTAGATTACCAATTCTCATATGAATTACTTTTTAGCGTTTATTTGATTTACCAACTTTTATTATCGTTTACCAACTTTTCTTTGTCTCTCTTAGAAACACCGTAAATTTATAAACTATTATATGAATTTACCAATCTTTATTTGTGTGACTTACCAATTCTTCTCCCTTAGAATTACCATCCTAAATTAGAATAATTACCAACTTTTATCTAATTAAGTTACCAACTAGTTTTGCTTTGCTAACTTTTATTTGAATTAGTTATCAACGTTATTCGTTGGTATTTCAAATTACCAACTTCTTTTATTTCTAATGAAAAAAATTTCTCTTATCATTTACAAACTTTTATTTATCATTTTTACCAATACCTTAAATTTATTAACTATCATATTGGAATACTAATCTTTATTTAAGTTAGCAAGTATTTTTGGATTACCAACTCTTGTTTGAGTTGCTCGCATCAACCTTTATTTGTTTTTTGTTTAACTTACCAACTTTTCAATTGAGTTACCACTTTAATTTTTCATGCTTGTTAATTTTTAAGTTCAACAACTCTTTTTAGAAAGGGTTAATACCACGAAAAACCCCAAACCGGTACACCTGTAATAATTTTACCCTGAATTAATTTTTTGACTACCAAAAACTCCAAACTGGTACACCTGTGACAAATTTACTCCGAACTATTTTTTTTACCATAAAAAACTCTAAACTGGTACATATGTGATAATTTTAACCCGAACTAATTATTTGACCACCAAAAACCCCAAACTGGTACATCTGTGACAATTTTACCTCAAACTAATTTTTTTACCACTAAAGATCCCAAACTGGTACATTTGTGATAAATTTACCCTCCGTTAGTGTCCGTTAAATTGGATTAATATCACGAAAAATGACAAATTGGTAAACTTGTGACAAACAGAGGGGTAAAACCTTAAACTGGTACACCCGTCAACTACCACGTGTCATCAAACTTAGCAATTTGACAGTAAAATTTAACGGAAATTAACGAAGCGTAAATTTGTCACAGGTATACCAGTTTGGGGTTTTTGGTGGTCAAAAAATTAGTTCGGGGTAAAATTGTCATAAGTGCACCAGTGTGGGGTTTTTAGTGATAAAAAAAATAGTTCGAGATAAATTTATCACAAATATACCAGTTTGGAGTTTTTTGTGGTATTAACCTTTTTAGAAATTACCAACCTCGATTAAAGTGATTACCATTTCCGTCGCAGTCAGTGCAACAAATCGTGCTCTTTGGTTTTGTGCGCCCGTCATCCTTCGCAGCTGGATCGGCAAAATTCGAGGAAACTGCGAATTTAAATCAAATGGACGGACGAACAACACATGTGGTGCGTACTACTGAATTACAATGAATTAGACGAGGATTGATATGATAACGGTATAATTCGCATAGAAGTTAAGCTGAAATGCTTCACCGGAGCTTTCACCAGTCGAAACTTAGTAGCTGGAGGATGATGATGGGTCGTGCCATGGCCTCTTGGACGAATTTTGTGTGCTGGGACATGATTGTCCAGCTGAGTCTCTGATCATGGAAGCAAATTAATAAGCTGAAGCAAAGCAGAACTCATAGAGGAGAGATCTGATGTAAGTTTTCAGTCCCCCTCGCCACCCGCAACGGCAATCTCAAATATTTTTCTGGAATCAACCAACTCATCACCTTCCCAAGTGAAAAAGTGCTTATCCAAAGATCCATTTGGCCTGAGATTATACACGGGAGCTTGTTTCAATCCTTCAAAGTAAAAATTGATGAGTTGCACTACATTAACATGATGAATTCTTCCAATAGTAGCCACTTCACTGAAAAAATCTTGGCCATGAGCCTCAGACTTCTTTAATATCTCGATAACCACTTCGTTGACACTTCTGAGCACTCCTTTGTTCATAGAACCATAATTTGTGGCGATCTTAATAATCAACTAAGAGAACCTCGTGGGCAAAAAATTGTTATGACCTTACAAAAATTCTTCGAAAGTTTTGTCCATTGCTAAGTGCCTACTTTTGTACTTGTAGATTAAACAAATCACGACAAATGACATCCCGATGATGAATCTCGCTGCACAAAAATGCACCGAGGAAAACTTTGATAGTTTGGAATGAGTTTATTATTATTATTATTACTTTTTTTAAGAGGAAAACTTTGATAGCTTGGAATAAGTTTATAATTATTATTGCTATTTCATGAACAAATCATTGCGGCTTCCCCAGTAGTACTATAAAATCCCAAAGTGTCCAGATTGCAATATCATCTAGGACACCTGTGGAAGGAATGAATGAATTAAGGCATCTAATACATTTAGGGACTCCATTAGGGACCTACATAAAGAAGCTAGAGTACCTGTAACTTTTTTCCCTTGAAAAAGATGTGTTGGGTAATGCTCCGATTTAAAAATAAGTGAATACACGTATGGCAAGTTGTACAAGCTTCTTCGAGCAAATGAAGAACGTCAGTGTTATCATCTTCATCTGCAAGAAATTTGGGGGATTAAATCATCAAAATCAGAGTTCAACTGATTTCACAGAGCTCATGACTAGTGCAATTTCAACCATCCGCAGCACATTTTGCATGTCTATACACTTTCCAAAAGGTTCATTCTAATGTCCTCAATTTCCACAATTCTTGATATATACACAGTACAAACAACTTGAAATATGAAATGGATACCCACTACAATTGGCAGAGTGGACTTGCAACCACGAAATCCTTGACCAAGACCCGACCATGGATCTTACAGCTAATCACCGATTTCAGATACGGTCTGCAATGTACTTGGAAAGAGAGTTGATGGGCTTGGCTGAGTCAAGGTTCCTACCTTTTTGCTTCCGAATCTTTATCCGAGCAAGGAAGTCAGCAGCAATCCAAGCAAAGCTTAACTTCAAGGCGATCGTACCTCCGTCATCGTGCTTATGCAAGTCCACCAATTTCTTCACACATTTTGGATGGTAGGTGACCTGGTACCAAGCAGATGCCTTTTGCTCATACAGCAAATTCCTCTCTTCATCACTCAACAACTCGGAATAGGAATCCAACATTTCGAATTTCTCTCGAAAATCTTTCCTCAATGCAGTGTAAGAGTGCTTGAGTCTCTCCTTCAGCTCCCCTTGCTTGCGGCTTGCACACTTTGGCATGGACCAAACATGACCAGTCACCAACTCTTCTTCATTGTTCACTTTGTACTGGCCCAGAAGCCCGCTCAGCTGCCTGTCATAGGAGCACTTATGGTCCCACGCTTTGGAAATGAAATCTGCAGCACCCAGGACCTCGAGACTTGTATCATAGGGAATATCCTTAGGGATGCAATATGGTTCAGAGGAATTCAAATCCTCATCATATGCATCTTTAATCTGACGGTAGAGTCTGCCCAAGATTTTAGTTGATTTGTAGGCTTGGAATTCCTCTTTCCCCATGAAGTCCGGGTACTGTTTTGGTTTCAGATGGCGAGGCATAGTGACAAGCTTTCCAGTCTTGGGAAAATCAACAGCAGTGGCAGCCAACTCAGCCAATTGAATGCAGTTCTCATCCAGAGCCCCATGTTCGCTACGGTCAGCATGAACCGCGTGCGCATTCCAGATTGCCCCCAGGTTCTCATTCACAATGTGCTTAACAAAGAACTCTATGATATCCTGCAGAATTGAGCCACATCATGAGAAACTGGGAGTCTTTCTGCAGCAAACTCAGAGATCAGGCCTATCAAATGCTAATGAAGAACTTAAACATCTCTCACTACATATCTGATTGCCTGGTGTGGCACAAAAATGCTGATGCTCCGTAACTATCGTGAGTGCATGTCGTAGTAAGTTTATAGTTATCAAGAAAATTAATTGGGAGATTAGTCTTAAAGACACTTTTGCTACTCCTCAGATCACACCAACGCGAACTTCCAAATTACAAGCATCTTCTCAAAAAGACCAGAAAGGGGGAAAATTTATAAGGCACTAACAAACTTGGTCAGAAAAGATGGCAGAAAGAAAATTACCACAGTACGAGAAAAAATGTTCATGCACACAGACTCGTGCTTTGTTTTATCTATCCTTATGAAGGACATCTGCACCAAGCCTCTTAAGATCCAACATTCCACTAATTTATTAAAAAAAAAAACTAAACACAAAAGATGCATTGCGAGAGTCATTTAAGCATAATCAAAACAACTGTCAATGGTTGGAGTATAAATCAAATGCGAAGGCACATCATTCGTAAATTGAAGTTGTTCCAATTTGACAAAGCCCAAATGCTTGTAAAAAACCACAGCTAAATAACAATTACCTTCTGGGTAACATCACGAGGCAGCCTTTTCTCTTCTGCAGGGTCATACTGCATGGGAGTCCAGCTCTTCTTACTCGGTGGAATGAGATTTTCTTCCCACGTGACAAAGTAGAGGTCCCCATCAAGGTCACTTCCTGAAGCTTCATCGGGGTGGGGCCTCTCCCCATTTTGAGGAAAAACAAGACAATCGTACAAATGGTGTAATTCTGGAGCATCAACTGCTTCCAGAATCCTCATATCACCAGGGTGTAGACATGGATTTTTGCCTACTACAACGTACCCTTTAATGACTTGTCGGTTCCTTTTAGTCTCAGAGAATCTGGAGCCGTGTTTTATGAAGCAGTTCTCCAGGGCTGGACTAGACACTTGAATAAAGCACTGACCTTCTTCGAGAACTCCTAGCTCATCCAAACAGCCCATCAGCCACCTCCCAGAGGGAACGAATATTCTAGCCTTTTCCCTAAGGCCCCACAGTTGTGCTGCTCGTATGCACATGAGCATGCCTCTTAAATGAGGTTCTGACTGGGGCCTAAAGCCAGCACTCAACATTATGGCGGCAATGTTTCCCTGCTCGGCACTGGAGGATGTAAGGACATCAAATGCCACGTCTGAGTCAACGAGCATCTGGTTTAATTTGAAAACCATTTTTTCCTGCATGGCCCAAAATACCTCATCTGGAACCTTCAACGTCGAAAGCAAGGTCACAATCTGCCTATTTAAAAAGCCAGGCTGAAACCTGGTCCAGGAACATATCTCCAGGGTAGTGTGGTTCGACCGGAATTTGTTCATACTATGCCTCAGAGAAAGTCGTATCTCATCCCCTTTGCTTGGCCAGCAAGCTACCACACCCTTGTAACCGGCATAACGAATCTGATATGCAGAAGGCGTGTCCAGTTCCAGTTTCAGCTTCTTTGCTACTTCCCTGGCAAGATCAGGTGTTATCATGCCAATTCCATCAGAGAAACAATAGCCATTCCTCCCAATATCTGGAAAATCATGATGTACTTCATTTTGTGGAACTTCCACAGTTGCATATGTGGATGAGAAGCACTGTCCCATCCGAGCAGCACATTTTGCAGTGTTCCTGTTACTGAACTTTCCCATCCACGCCTTGATCTTGTTCACATCGAGTTCTTTGTCCTCAGCGAAAAACCAAGCAGACTTGTCCCTAAATTGGTTTGATGAGAAAGCCAGAAATGAGTATCTCCGACCACAAAGAGAAAACCCATCTGTCATTATCGTCCTCACCCTTTTAAAAATTTTGGTCTTCTGGGAAAAGGAGATCGACTTGATATCCTTTAAGATGGGAGCAGCGTAATAGCTGAGGACATTAGCATTCATCGTCTGCTGGCCTTCATCCATAAAGGTCACCCTCAAGAACCTGTCAGCAACATCCTTATATTTCCGGAGCACCCTGTTGGACAGCTCCACTTCAGGTGGAAGACAATGCGCTCTAGTTGGAGTTACGATGAGCCTCCTTATCTCAACAATGTCATTCAACTCTTTCTGGTTTTTAAGAAGTTTGGGATTCTTCAGCAGCCATTCTTGGAGAAGTTTCAGCCTTTTGTATGCATCAAAGACCGGGCATTTGAAAGAGCAAATGTGCTTTAGTGCTGCAATGTTCACCTCCTTCGGTTGGCTTTTCAATAACCCATAGAAACTCTCTGATAGCTGGTGTTGGCTGAATACATTCTTGTGGATGGCAGCATTCAACAAGAACATGACATCGAAAGCTATCTCCTTGTGATGAGTAGAGAAGAAGGCATCTAACATAGGCCTACCAAAATTAGGCTCATCCTGGATCTTCAGGTACCGTCTAGGGGAGCATTCCTGCACTCTTCGTTCCCTAAGATAATCCATGGCATTCTTCAACTTCAGTCCATGGCGTGGCGGAACTGACACTCTGTAGGTATTGCACCGACCGACAGCCCCACTAGCCGTGAAATCTGTAGTTCGAATCCAAGGATCTTGATCATCCAACAGGTCAAGTGGAACTGGTACTTCTATGTCGTCATCAGCAGTCCTATAATACACACGAGGAGCTGAAGCCAGCTGCAAGAATACAACAATGGATGACATTTCTCTGTGCCGATTTATCTCATTGATTTCCCTCACCAAGAACTCCATCTTCAATTCACAATTTATCACGGCATAGATGGACAGGTCTTTGAAAGAAAAGGCTGTTTTCCTTGTAAAGCAAAACCTGCACATACTATCAAAAGGATCTACAAAAAAATCAACCCCAGATGAGGGTCCTCTCCACCCTACCAGAAACTCCTCCGGCGTAATGAAGTTTCCTATCTCTAGGCGCACGTCAGGCAACATAAAAGGAGTGGTAGTCCTCCTCCTTTGATTCATATGGTATGGATTATCAGGTCCCAGGCTGACTTTCAAAGGTTTATTATTCAAAAAGAGCCCATTGTGCAGCGAAAGCTCATAAGCTGAGGTTGCAGCTTCAGGCAAAGCAAAGTGCACAAAAGCATGTGGCTCCACCTTTCTATATTCATCCACTGTCTGGATGGTGTCAAACCTTGTCACCTCAAAATCTGGATAAGAATATGGGGGCGTCCAGGAAGTTTTCAATCTACACCTCCTAATAGGGCCAACTGTATTTTCCAAATA